CAACCCTAACTATTCCATGATTTGATGATTGTTTCATTTCTTGACCACTGGTTTCGATTCCTGCCTGTTTCTGCATTTTGCTTCACCTCCAGATGCTGTTTGATACAGATGGCATGGACGAAGAGCTCTCATCTGGCCTCTTGATAAGTGGCTGTGATAAATGGGAATCGCTTAGAAGACAAGGGTGGTCCTTGCTCTCCTTCAAACGAGCAGCCAGATGCACAGCCAAGGCCAGGGGCAAGGGAAGGCTGAGCCCACAGCTGGGTTTTATGTACAGAAGTGCTTTGTCTTTCCTTCTCCAGGGCGCTCCCCATTGCTTCATCTCCCTTTGCACTCAAAACCTGACCTCCAGTTGCGCTTGGGCTATGTTTCTTTCTGAGATATCTCTGATCTTTAGAGTGTCTCCCATCTCAAACTCCTAGAGAGGAGTGTGCCTGGCCAAGAAACAGCTCCAACCAGAACAAAACACTCATTTTACAGCTCATTTTATGCCTAAATGCTCAAGGAACAGAGAAATGCAGTCCAGATAAACGTTGGATAGAATGAGAATCTGCATGTCTCAAGGGCATGGTTTGCATGTCAGCCAGAGATGTGACCCAAGAACAATCCACCTCGATTTAGATGCCCAACAAGACACCACCAACAGCAACACGATAACCCTGCCCTCCCTCCTGTGTCTGTGCCCATGCACTGACACTCAACAGCACTTGCAAACTCAAGATGTTGTAATGCAGACTAGGAAGGCTGCACAAAGATTGTGCTTCCTAATGGAAGAGCTATCAGCTTGTGTAAAAGGAAGCCCAGAAGTGCAGATCTCATTCTGGCATCTCAGACTCTGGAGTAAACTTTGGGAAAAGTAATGACTTTCCAGGTAAAAACATACGAAACAGGAAGAAGGAATGTTTATTCTGAATGAAGCAGCCACCATCCTGATTGCTTTCTGTAGGAAAGTGGATGTTATATAACAGGAAATGAGAATGTGCTAGTGAGGCTAAAAAGCAGAAGCTATTTACTAAATACTAGCCTCATGGGTACACTGGAAAGAATGGGAGAAAACATATGCATGGAGAAAGATTGACAGAAACTTGTGCCTCAGAATAGAACTATTCACATGAGATACGCCCCATTGTGCGGACACTGTCTGACAGTAAGGATGTGTATTGAAAATAAATGAGTTATACCCTTCTATTGTCATGGCCACTGAAAATAAATAGACATCTGGCATTGAAGGCATAGCAGACACAAGTTACCGTGTTACCTCTGAAATGAATAGGGTGTAAGAGGAAGCACACACTAAAGATCCCATTTAGTGAATGACCCAGCTGGAAAACATGCTCACACACCAGAACCACTCACAGCCCCAGCGCCACTGCCTGAATAGATCTTACAGAGCTTGGGCACTGGGGCTCATTTTCTCAGCATGGTGGGACTGAGATAGCCCATTCCCTGCTACTCATGTTCGTGGTCTTTACTCCCACATCAATCCATCAGTCATTCTGTGTTTGCCCCATGGACACAGTTGCACAGACTTTTCTACCCTGTTGCCCCATGCAAAAATCTCCTGCAAGGCTCCCCTGCCATGACCCAGTTCATTCCATTTTGGAACATCAAAGAACCACGTGTGAGCCACACCAAGAGGCCCAGGAACACCCCCTGGGATACCCAGAAAATCACAGCAGTGCAGACGAGCTGCTGCTTTCCCATGCTCAGCAGCAGTAGGATGGGAAGACCTTAATGTCACGTCGAGCAGCATGGGCACAGCTCCTCCAGAAAAATGCCATCTGTGAGGTCATTTTCAACCAAGACCTCCTGGGAGGAGGGATGCAGGGGAAAAGGAGGGGTTTTCCTTGACTGCTGCTGTTATCAGGCTTCCCTCCTCCAAATACTCCAAGGGAATGGATTTGTCAAAGCATGTTTTGCCAATTTGCTATTCTTCATTGCTTTGCCTACAGCAGAGGCCCGCATAATCTTATCTGCTGCTCAGTGCATTGCAATGCCAGCTCAGGGATCAGCACATACTCTGCTACGTCCTTGCTGTTCCCTTTGGATGTATCTCTGCAGAAAAGCTTAGGGGGACTCAGTCCTCTGGGCAGATCGTAACATGGGGAAATGTTGTCTGAGAGGCATTAGACCTTTTCCTGGGGAGAAGGAACAGAGAATGTAAAGAAAGCACAGCTCAAATCCTGTTATTAAAGCAGTGACGGAGAATTGAAACAACCAAGTGGAGGAGGAAGGAGGGTGAAGTCACGTTTTCAAAGTGCCAAGGCACTGTCATTACAGCTTCTGCTTTCCCATGCAGCAGAAGCAACGTGTGCTTTATTCAGGGCCACAGTGCACACAACACACACCCTGAGCATCAAAAGGCACTGCTGATGCACTAACAACTGGCAATACTGCACTGAGTTCTTTAGCAGTGCCTTAGAGCAGTTATCTGCTTGGATGCAGCAAAAGTACTGCATCTTCTGCTCCCAGCTGCGTGAATTTGGGGAGAACAGAAAGAGAGCAGGAGCTCTTTGCTATGAAGACGTCTTACAAAACTGCTTTGGGATTTACAGCCTCTGTTTCCTGACAGGAAAGAAAGCAGGTTCCGGTGAGGATGCTTCTGTTCCCAACCGGTGATGCAGCAGAATGGATGGGCTGTCACAGAGCCGCTGTGCAGTTCAAACAGGTTGTTGGTGATTAAATGCAAAATTCATCTGGGACATGAGGTTCTCATTCAGCCTGGAGGCAGTTCAAAGACCTTTACAGCTTTCTCCCTGTAGAAAGACCAACTCATCCTTCAAGCAGACACTTTTTGCTGACTTTTATTCACTGAGAGGTAAAGTCTGGAAGGAAAGCAGGGCTGCTGTGTCCCTTTTGAGTGCTGCTCCCTGCATCCCCATAACCTGGACTCAGTGAGACAGAAGCACCTTCCTCTGTTAGAAAGGCACAGAAGGCAATACAGGGAAGATGTTGTCTTCTGGATTATCTAGCATCTGTTTGGCAGAATGGGCTGGAGTATTCCACTGCACTGTTTCTGCATCTGCACAGGACTTTGACAACGACAAGCACTGTCAGTCCATAATATCCAATCTGTTCCTAGTTGGCCCTAACCTCTTTTAGCAGAGCAAGGATTTATTTAGCATTAGGGAATGTTTTGTTCTGGAAAATACAGTATCCCCCATGGACAAACAATACATCATGATTTCACAAACAGCTGCCTTGAAAACCTACATGGTCAGGGAGATGACACCCCACCGTGTCCCAGGGAGGCTGCCAGGTCCTGTTCCCTGTTCCTGTCTTAGATATCTGAGAACAGGACCTGCTTTTTGAGTCCCACAGATGCACTGTTTGCTTGCTGGCTTTGAGGCTTTTTGGTTTTGGTTGGTGTTTATTCCATTACTGGGAAGCCCAGAATAACTCCTTCTCCCCACACCCTCGCTACAGTTAGGGGAGGTCTGTCCATCCTGTTGGGATCTGTCCTTACTCCCCAACTCATCCATCCCCTGAACTTTGGCATGTTTCTCCTTTTCTATGCCCTTCTCCGGGCTCAGTCACACATGGCTTTTCTTTAGCAAACTCTTCTCCTAGCGACTTTCTTGCTACCTTCCTACAACTCTCATGACCCAGACTCTGCTCAGATCTGCTCAGGGAGCAGGAGCAAAGGAGGAGTTTGCCAAGATATCCAGTTTGAAATGGGCAAGGCATCAGTGCAAAAAACTGAGGCATAAAAGTCTATGTTCCTGCTTTAAAGAAGGCACAGTCTGGGTGATGGCAGTGACTTTGTACCAGGAGTCAGTTGGACTCATTTGCTTGGAGATCCCAAAGCAACACAGGTAGAAAATATTCCCTTCTCCTAAAACCAGACAAAGACCCTGCTGACAACCAGACCATCACAAAATTGTTATAGCACCTGCCTATCTGCAGGACATACAGCAGTGAGCAGCACAAGCAGCATCACTCCCAGAGCAACAACCATCTGAAAGCTGTACCATTACTGCCTCCAAGGATTACTGACCCCCCCCAGCCAGCTCAGTTGGTGTAAAGAGACTGGCCAGGATGGTCTGAGAGCAAAGTACGGCCAAATTCAGCCCCCAGCCTGCTTCTCCGCTGGGACATGACTCAAACCACCAGCTCCCTCTGCAGCCCCATGCCCAGCCCCTGCCCTGCCCCAGCAGCACATGGGGAGCATCACTCCTTCCAGGCAACCTGCTTGTTGTTTTTGACTTGAAGCTGATACTTCCTGGCAGCCAAACTGCCCAGGCCAGCCTGCACTGCCACCACTGTGCCATTCAGGAGCTGTAAACGGAGCAGCATCTGCTTCCTTCAGGATCCTCCGGCTACCCAGCTCGCTCCATCTCCCCACCAGCCTGAGAGCAGACAGGGATCAGAGCTGAGCCTGATTTCTTTTCTCCCTTCTTTCCCCCCCCACCCCTTCCTTCTGTCTGACACAGCACCAGGAAGGCACCAGCTGCTGCCCACACCATTCACACTAGGATTTATGAGCCACGACCACCAGGAGCAAGCAGAATATTTCCCCCTTCCGTGATTTCAGCAATGCTAAAGACACTTAGGGAAATACAACTGGCTAATGGACATCACTCAGACCACCCCCAACAGTTCCCTTTCTTGCTGGCCTCTTTCCAGCTCTCTCTCCTTCATTCAGCTGAGTAGTATTCACTGGCCATAGCAAGAGAACCCCAAGCCCCTTCTGATGCTTAACAGCGACCTATCTGATGCCCTGGTCTGACACCAAGCAGCATGAACCTTGTGCAGGATGAAGGCTGGACTTGCTGCAAGCACCTTGCAGGGCTGGCCCCACATAATCCCTCCAGCAAACAAACTTCAACTCAACAGGCTGCCTCTTCCTCCTCTGCTGCACCAGAGCCCAGCAAGGACCATCCACTCGTCACACCACGTGTTGGCCAATGACCTCCAGTGCTGTCCCGGTCCTGCAACACCACACCACCACCATCCACACGCCCAGAGAAGAGGAAAGCAGAGTGTCTGCTCATACTCACAGTTTTGAAGTCCTCATGGCTGCACTCCTGGCCTTTGAATTTGCAGTACAGCATCATATCCTTCAGGTCATGGCCAACCCGGGCCAGGAACTCCTGCATGTTGAAAACTTTTGGCTTATACTGCTTAAAGTTGGCCTTTTCCTGGAGGATGGCTAAGACAGCCGGGTCAGCCAGGTGCGGGTTAGGGATCTGCAGGTTGACATCAAGCAGAGCCAAGAGCTCCCCAGCGTGGTACAGGTCATTGGTGGTGAGCCGGGAAAAGCGGAACTCGTTGAGGTTACAGATGGTGACAGCAGGGAAGACCAGGCTGTTTGCCACAACCTCGTCCATTTTGGTCACATGCTGGTAGGAGAAGTAGAAAGCCACCCGGTCGGAACTCTCAACCAGGAGGAGACCCAATGAGCCCACAAAGGCCAAGGTCCAGAGCAGGCGCCGGATGGTCACCGGCCCATAGACAAAGACGTGACGGATTCCATGGAGCGTGGAGGTATTGGCAAAAATCTGGATGCTGGAAGGCTGCAGGCTGCCCATGCTGCCCTCACTGGTGCTGTCCTTCAGATCCATCAGGGATAGTTGGTTAAATCCTGGCACTGCTTTTTGGGTCAGTCCTTGGCTGGAACTGGGATCCAGATCTCTTCCTTCCCCTTTCAAAAGTGATTAAACCCTTTTAGAGCAGCAGAGTCTCAGGCCGGCTGCTGCCAGTTTCTCCCACAAGCTCAGCAGTAGCTTTAGAAGGGGAAAGATTTACATCAAATCCATTCAAACTCTCGCTCTTGATTTCCTCGGAGCGATAAGAAGGGCTCGTTTTATTTAGGGAGACACCAAGGTGATGTGGAAGAGATGTGGGTGGGCAGCAAAAGCTGAACCAATGGAAACAGAGTCCTCCCCCTACACACACACACATGGACACACACACGCGCCAAAGGGAGATGAGATTAAGTGAGAGACCGAGCTTAAAACAAGCCAGCTCGCAGCCTGTTAACTAGTGCGGAAAGCCCAGGGATGCTGCTGCTTGCAGAGCACTGGGGCTTTCAGACCCGTCGGGTGATGCTCCCCGTGCTCCTGGGATGCGAGCTGCTGGATTTAAGCATCTCTCCTCCTCCACACCCCTCCATTTTGGGCAGGGCTTCAAGAAATACCACCCCAAAACTCACCCTGCGCTGCCGGTGTTGTTTCTCTCAGGGGAAGGTGGGCAGCTAATTCAGCAGAAGTAGGAAAGGAAAGGGAGGAGGGAAAAGGAAACACTAAAAGAAAAGGAAAAGGAAAAGGGGGGGGGGAAGTTGCTGCCTGGCTCCACGCACACACATACACGCAACCCGAGCAATAGATGAAGCCTCTTCTGTCACACAGCAGGTCAGAGCAGAAAATGAGCAAGGGCAAGGCTCAATGGGGAGACGCAGCGGGAGGAGAGGGGCTGCAGCATCTCTCATCTCTGTCTGTCTCCGAGCTTCCCTTCACCTCAGAGAAGCGCTGAGTCCTGCATCGATCCAGAGCCCTGCAGCAGGGCGAGAGCCCAGGGGAGAGCAGGGAGAGGAGGATGCGATCCAAGACCCCCAGGCAGGAGGCGCCTGAGGCTGGAGGTGGCTGTGCCTCAGTGGGACCAGGGGGAGAAGGGCTGAGCCAAAAAGCTCCTACAGCCCCTGGGCTCAACCCACTGAGGACTTGGAAGGCTTTTGGCCAGCAGGATCTCCAGATGTCCTGTTTGGTGCTGAAAGACAGCAGTGATTTGGGGAAGATCCAGATGTGTGTTCAGACAGGAGGCTTGGAAGGAGGAGGTAGCGGAGGCAAAGTGGGAAAGATTTTCTACCCAAGAGATGCTGCAAAATCCTGTAGCGATGCCTCCGTGCATGAAAGCATCCTTAGTGGACGCTGCAGGAGGTGGGAATGAGCAGGATTCAGCCTAAAGATGAAAGGTGCTGGCGTCTGAGTGGCTCCCCTCCATCCTGTCTCAGTGCACAGCAGTATTTCTACCTGCTTTTGCTCAGATCCTGGATTAAAACTCAGTTTCAGTCTCTGTGCAGCACCCAGCACTACAGCTGGGGAGGGTGCCAAGGGCCATGCTAGCAACTTTTCCAGCTTGGATGAGGTAGGAGCAGAGGGTCAAAGCACAGAGTGAGCCTGCCACAGTCTGCAGGGCAATGCCAAGTGAATCTCAGCCACCCATGAGGTTACCTTAACAACAAATCCAAAGGTTATGTGGGGCAAAATGAGCCCAGTGATTGAATTTAATACCCCCAATGCTGTTACCATGAGAGCAGACCCTGAAAGAGGGTTTGACCCCATCAGCTCTTCAGGTGCTTCACATCCATTGGTAAACCCCTGACTCCTTTGTCCCCTGGCCATTCCCTGGTGATTTTCACCCAGGGATAAGATGGTTTCCGCTTTTCCAACCTCCAAAGCCACATTGGGCCCTGATAGCCAAAGGCAAGCTCAGCTGTGGCATCCCCCAGCATGGATTATCCTATGGCAGTATCCCTCAGCCTGAGCTACTGATCCCAGCACTGCTGTATGGCAGCACAATGCTACTTTCTCTGTTTCATACCACATAAACTGAGGCAAAGAGAGGACAAAGGGCTTGTGAGCAGTGCAAGCCCATTTGTGGCTGAACAGAGCTGTGCCCCTTCTTTATGAAGCAGAACTTCAGCCAAGATGAAGCTTTACAAACCTCCTGCATCTTGGCATGCCCTTTCCAGGAGGGATGCAGAAGACAGCACTGAGCAGACCCTATCAGCACATGGACCAGAATTAAAGCAGTTTAGGACAGTGTGGGCACAGCACCCTTGTTCCTGAGCTCCGGACTTCTCCGCCTGTCTACCCCTGTGCTCACCATCTCCCCACAGCCAGGGACAAGACTATTTTCCTCAACAAAATGGGAATGGGCTCCCTTTCCCACCCATGACCAACCCATTTGCAAATCTCCCTCCTCTCTCCCCATCTGCATTATTTGGCCTGGTACGTCGATGCTTTCATTTATTCACCATATGCACTGTCTTTACAATCCTGTTGTCTGTAATTCATACCATATACCATCTGCTGCCTTTGATTATTTAACTATGGAGACAGCTTTGGCTGCAGTCTGCAGGAAGAAGCGCTGTGCCCAGCAGTGCTGCCTGGCATCAGGCTCTGCTCCACTGCCTATGGGGCTTGGGGACAAACCAGGGACATAAATGCTCTCCAATGAGTGCCTGTGGCTCAGGCACGGTATCCTGGGAGCCAAGGCAAGCAGCTCTGGTTGTCCCTAGGGGTGCACTATGTGATGACACCCATAGGGGAGATGGGCTGTAAGGGATGGGAGGAGCTGTTGCCACCTCTCACCACCCATGTAAGCAGCCTCTCTGCAGGTAGATGTTCACGGTAAGCATAAAGCAGCATGGCTGGTCCTGTGAAAGACCCTGAGATAGCATAGCCCAGCTAAGGGAGCATTCCCCTTCCTCTGGTCACCCAGGGAATGGCAGGGCATCGCTGGGGGGGGGCGTTGAAAGAGCTGCTTTGGGAGCTCGTAGCCAAATCTCAGCCCCTGAATACTCCTCACAGACCTCTCTGCTTCAAATCTCTTTCAGAAAGGACAGAGGAGCTGGCCAGGGCCAGAAGATACATCCCTTAGGAGGAAAATCCCATTCCCCCACCCCTTACAGAAATGAAGTGATGGAGGGGGCAGCACTGAGGCACCCAGGGAGCGGATTCCGAGCTCTCTCCCGTTAGTACAGCCTGTGCCTGCCCTCTTGTGTCTTAAGCCAAGGCTGCACTGCTCAGAATGAGGGACCTCAGCCCTGAAACACGCGGGAAACGGGCTTATTTGGGGAGGGAAGGGACTGTGTGACCCCCTCTGCTTCCACATCCCCACCTGAGCGTGTCCCAGGGGAGGGTTTGCAGCGGGAAAGCCAGGAGTGGCCTTAGAGGCAGAGCAATGGGTTGATCTTAGAATAAAAGGAGATGCTTTGGCCCCCCTGCGTGGTTCAGCACAGGGTCTCCTGCACCCTGCACCAGAGCCCTCTCCTTAGCAATGGAAATGGATGCATTTTCTACCAATTTATTGATCTTTATGTTTCCCTCTGGGCTTGATTAGGGAAAGAGAAGAAAAGAGAAAGCAAGGACGGTTGCAGGCCAGGAGAGCTGTTGATCTTCCCCGGCCCGGCTTTAGAGTGCTACTGTCATTGCAACGAGCACCAGAAGAACATTCCCATCAGTTTCACGGGATGCTGCTTCTGCTGCTTCACCTTGGGCCTTGCAAAGAACAAGGACACCAGAAGGGGAAGCCAGGGAGCAATGGGACAACAACGATGACACCAGGAAGAAGGACTTCGTTTTAGATGATTGTGGTCCTATGAATCTCCCTCCATTTCTCAGCCTTTCCCTGACCTTTTTGGACTCTCATGTCACCTACCTGCTTTATTGCCAGTATCTTCAATCTCTTGGGGAGCCGGAGCTCCACTTAGCAGAGAGAGCTCGGCTACTTAAATAACTCTGCCTTTTCAAATGGGAAGATAATGCTGAACGCTGATGTTTCCCCTGAAATTAAATCCCTTCCAAAGTAGCTTTGGCTCAGTTAAATGGCTTTTAATGCATATATAAAACTGAGATTTTGATTGGTTTTCAATGTGTTTAATATTATGCTTGGATTTATAATGGGGTATCAAATGCAAGCAATGAAAGAGAGAAAAGAAAGAAGTCTCCTTGAAAGAAAACCAAAAATATTCATATAGCTGCACGTTGGGAAGACTTTCTAAAGGAAGGTGTTGGAAGAGGATGAAATGATACCCACGTCCTCCAAATAAAGTTGCTGATAAAAACATCATATTGACAGAGAGGCAAAACTGCATCTTCCATTGGAGGAACTATTTTGAGGGGAAGCTATGCCTGGCACCCCCCCGTAGCAGAGAGGATGCTCCAGGATACCTTCCTCCTCCTCCTCCTCTCCCTGCAGAAACACTATAGCACATTAATAGCTCAGTGGTGGCAGAGCTGAGCCTCCAGTCTCCAAATCTGGCTGGTGATGGGGGGGCAGAAGCTCCCCTTGATGTGTAGAGATCACTCAGAGCCCAAATCAGCCAGAGCCTACAAACTGAGTTACATCTACAGATTTCATTACAGAAAGGGAATGTTGGGTTTGCAGCGGTGTTTTCCAGCAATAGGAGCCACTTGCTCTGACATTCCCAACTTCTCTGCAATAACTTGGATTTGTCAGCCCTCTCTGCAGGGTTCAACCAGGGTTTGGGGATGTTCATGTTAGTGTGGATGGCACCCGCTCAGTGCGCAAAGTGAGCTGCAGGGATTGCAGGGCCTCAGCTCCATCTTCCTGTGCCATCACTTCACTGCAGAACCCTGAGCAGGACACAGTGGGTTTTCATTCCGTGCAAAACTCGAGGTATGGGGCTCCTGTCCTGTGTCTTGGGCATATAGATTTGGGGATGAAAACTGCAGTGGAATAATGACATTTTCCTTTGGCACCTCCCCATTTCAATAGCCCTTGAAATCATACTTGTTCTCTCTCAAGCTTCACACAATTTAATTTTGAGTTAGATGCGTTAGTTCTGCCGGATAATCTAATTCCTCAGGAAGTCTCTGAAAGCACTTTGAATTATTCATGGGTAATTCAAGCTTAGGACCTATTCCAGGCCTCTGTTTCTGGATAACGCAACACATTTCTTCTTGTCGGCACATGAAACAAGCCAGGAAAATTCACCAAAATACCTATTTTTTCATCCTTTTGCCCCAAAATGTCTTCATCAGCTTTTCTTTCTTTGAATCTTCTCTTTCAGTGCCAGTGCAGCTCCTAATGGGAATTCTCATTTCATGGGATTACAATTCTCAGAATAATTAAGAGAAAGAATCCTACAAATTAAGAAGTCATCCTTTCATCACTATAGCAACCCTGATTGTCCTTCCTCAAGTGGCTGAACTGAGAAAACAAGGAAAAAACCAATCTGAGAGATAATTGCTATCCTGCTGCCAAAAGAGCAGAGC